ACCTAATTGCCCCATCTTACATTGCTTTTACAGCTCAGGGCATCATTAAGAGCTGCGCAATGCCAGCAAAGGGCCTGGATTAAATTGTCACTCGATGACCTCTTCCGATCTTAAAACGCAAATGCAGTGCTCAGTTGGTCGCCTTTTGCTGCAGCTCAATGTAAACCTGTCAGTAAGCACTGGGTTTATAACCTCCAGCTGGAGAACAAGATGAGTTCTTCCACTTACTCCTGACCCAGGTATAAGCACCAGCAAGAAATCAGAGGCTGTCAAGTCCTATTCCGTGCAAGCCCTCGCTTGGGTTGAAGAAACCTTTTCGAGTAAATATTTAATGTGATGAATAGGCAATAATGCACCAGCCAGTCTTTAACTCTAATTACTTACAAAGTCAGAACAGAAGGTTATGCCAATCAAGGGAATAAATATCATGATGCTAGAGACATGCATAGCATCATGTTGGGAAGTCTTTAGAAATAACCAGAGCACTAGAGCTCCACCTGTGTGCTCTAGTTATTCTGTATCTTTCCATATCACAGTGTAAGACCAGCGTAAGGCAACCTCTTCATCTTGAGTTTCTGTCATGTACACAACAGGGGAGTGATAGTACACCTCCCTTTTGGGGGAATTAAATTCTTTCAGGGAGAGCAGAAGCTCCTGGTCCCTGTCATGCCAGAACAGTTTTTTTGTGGGGGAGGATGGGTTCCCCTTTTCCAATAAGAGGCAGGAGAGATCCTGAAGACAAACCATGCCTTGGAAGCCAGACGAAATCACAGAGCAAAAAAGCAGGAACTGACTGGCTCTGCCTCATTCACCACAAATTAATTAAATCTGTTGTTAATTCTCCACTCTAGTTGTATCATTTCATGCTACAAAGAATATTTTGTTTTATGTTCAGCGTGTAATAGCTTGAGCACTATTATAAACCTTTGGACACACTGTACTTCACCAAGTGTGAGGCACAACTACAGTAGCTGTTATGTTCCAAAGAGCATAACTTTGTCAAAAAGAAATCTGGCAAGATTTTAACATAAGAACATTTGCAGGACTAACCTCAGGCTCCTTGCATCCATCATATAATGTCTTTAATACCATTGTATTCAAATACATGACGAACCTTACAGTGGAATAGTGGATTACATGTGTTAAATCTGCCTAACATTCAATAGCTAGATGGAAAACAACAGCTTACCAGTATTACCAAAAATGACCAGAATTGTAAAAATCAGCATTTGTGCATTGATCCAAAATTCCTTTTGGTATTGCAGCCGACAAACGGCAGCATGTTCCAGAGGTGAACTAGATCATTAAAGCTCTGCTGCATAACTGAAATAACGGGATCTTGGCAAACAAGACGAAATACTGAGTGTCCCACACAGAGGCTGTCGGCCCCCACACCTTCATTAGGGAGGCAGCCGGTTTAATGAACTTCCCAAAATCAATCTCTAGGTTCCACAGCCCGACTCACTCGAGCGCGTTTCCTCTAGTGCCCCGCTTCTCTCCCACCCCAACCTGCTAAAATTACAAGAGTTCCCTGAGGGATGTGGGCCTGGAATCTGGCAGGAGATCTGCAGACACAGCATGTTTTCACAGAAATTGGCTTTAAAACCAACAGCTTCCACCTCTTTGCAATCATGAGCACAGGAGTCAGGGCGACGCAGCTTGCACATGAGGGTGCCTCTACAATCGCCCTCACCTTTAACACGGAATTAATACTTAAGGGCACAATTACAGCTGCAGTTTGTTTTATCCCTTAATCAGTAATGCTTTTAGGGCCGCAAATGACATTTATACTTTTAAATCAAGTTTATTTATAAAGTATTAATAGATTGACAATGACACCTAAGCCCTGCTGTAAAATGTTGGTAACAAAAACCTAATCCTCCCTATAGCCTAAACTATAATGTTATAAATATCTTACATTATCAATTGTTAGCACTAGGGATATGTAAATTACTTCTAACATCATTAATAACATGCTACTAGACTATTTACAGACAGTTATTAATGGCAAACTAAACTGCTGAGGTCTTTATTTTCTTTGGGACACAAATGAAATATTAAAACTAGAATAAATCTATTCATTCCTCCAGGTGGGTGCTGTGCTATGGTGGAAGATGTCTGTAAAAATGAGATTTGTTGTTTCATCACTTTAAGCACAGCTGATGGGTCCAAAACACCCCCGTCCCCCCAGCAGTAAAGTTGAGGAGTCAAATGAGAAATAAGCCAAAAACCAAGAAGACTGCAGCTGCACTCATTTCTAAATTGTGCATTTTTGGAACGATTTCTTCCCAACGTAACAGCTGAAGAGGAAAAATGGGCTCATAATCAGTCGAAGGGCAAACATATGTTCAGAAGCTCAGCTGTGAAGGGATTCTGTCTGAGCCCACAGTTTCTAAATAAAGGCTAAACAGCTGTATTTGGCCTTCACAGGCAATGTCTACATTACTAGTGGTGTCTGACAGATAGTCTGTCTAGCAAACAAAGTTGCAATAACACATGAATTTCTCATTGCCACATAAAAGGAGGTGTCACATTATTTAATCAACCAAACCTAAATCGTGACAATTAAGAGCCACTTAATAAACATGTTCACAGATAAAGATGAAGAAAATAAAGTGCATTCTGCTGCAATTTTTCAAAAACACATTTTTTGAGGCGTTACACAAGAGTGAAACACAAAATGCGATGATACAATTTCCTCACACAGACCATCTCCTTCATATCTAAAAGGAAAAATAATGAACAAGAACAGATCGCCATGCAGAAGCCTTTATTGCTGGTAAAGACGTAATGATGTCTTAAAAAGAAATCTGCATCGCAGGCACCTCGAAGCAGTTAGCCATTTACAGAGATCTAAACCGGAATTTATTACACTGCACATTAAGATGGCACACTACATAAGACCAAGTCGCCCCGTCAGCACACTGTGCTTTACTGCTGCATGTGTTCATAATCATGTGTTTCACACTACAAGCTGTTCGCTCCCCCAGTATACAGTATAATAGGCCATGATGGCCACAGGGTATTATGACCAAAAGAACAATCCTAGATTTCTAGCTTGCAAGTATCCACACGCAAATCCCCCTGGGATACACCCTCCCTTTCGTCCTACCCAGCTGCTGCGCAGCACACAGCTCAGAAATGAAGCTATTTAACACGTCTGTGATCACATTACAATCCCTCGTTGGCTCTTCATTAAAATGATAATAGACAAAACCATGCGGCACCAAGAGCCCACAGAGGCAACACGCAGGGCTTTGAGACGGCCCTGTGTGCACATGTGCACAGTACAGGACAGAGCAAAAAAGGAAAAAAAAACAGGTTATTGCACAAATAGGTTTGTTCAATTCAATGCTGCCTCTCACAGCTCCCAACAAAATTCTTTTTTCCATTAAACACAATTTAAAAGAACCATACGCAACAAAGACTTGGTCTTATCTAGAAAATAATTTAGTGTTGTTTGTGTGAGGGGTTCCCCACTGGGGCATGTTTTATTTCAAACATGCTCATTTGTAGTGTTCTAGACACAAAGGTTTATACATATTTTATAGCTTAGGGGGAAATAGTTCAATTTTTATATAAATGGTTTAAATTGTTGAGTGACTGAAGACACGAAGTACCACCAAAATTGAAAATCACAGACGCGATACAAAACAATTCTCTATAAAGCCACTTTCCCAGGCGAATCTCCATGTAATAATTCTCTCTTCTACAGAACGTCTACAGAACTATTTCGTACTATTCTTTCCAAGAGCTTTAATACCTGGGAAGCCTTTTCCCCTTTCTATAACAAAAGGTCCATGTTGTGAATAGATTGTCATTTTTTATTTTACCTTCCATACAGGCAAAAAATAACCTGACCACTCTCCTAACTCTTCAGCTCAATGGGATTGACCCAGACATTCATGTCAAAACACTCTGATGAGTCTCAGTGGGTGAGCTTATGCATGTAAGAGATGCACTTATTCATAATGTCAGCTGAATGTGATGGCACAGAAACAGAAAATAGACTGCTGGCTTGCTTGTGTACAGAACCCATCTCTAGTTCTGCAGAACAGCTCTTTCAACTCCCCATTTGCAGCAAACGTCTCTTACAAATCCCTTCATTTTGGGGAATGAAGCTGTGCTAACCACTACATCACTGTGCTGTGCCAAAAAAATAATTAAAAACCTGCTCTGAGCTCTCTTGCAGTAAGAAACTTCAAGGACTGACAAAGTGAACTGGAAAATTTGTATATGGTACCATGAATGAGCATTCAGTCACTAACCTTGCGTTTCTGGGTCAATGCAATAAAGAGAAAGGGTCAGCAAAGATCGCCAAATGTCAAGACACAACAGGTGGACCTCACAAATTAAACATCATTGCAACCAATTGCAAAGAGAGAACTGCAAGAACTGCATTCTAATCCTCTGCATTCACCTCAGCTGTTAAAAACAGCTTGAAGCTCCCATGATGCCACAGAATATTTACTAAACTATCATATTGAGATCTGGGTGCTACACAAAACAAACATTTTACATATGTAAAGACACCACAGATCCAAGACTGCTAGCGCTCTAATCTAGTAAACTTGATGGCAATGTTGAAAGAATTAAAGCCTTTAGTAAAGTGAAAAAGTGTTAAATTAAGCTTTCTGAATAACAGAAATAATATAGACATCTTCCAAAATATCACCTATAGAGCCAAAAGTACCCTTTAATTTTACATCCTATAAACAGCTAGCAATATCAGAAATTCTCATTGAATATGGAACCACATGTCTACTTATCACTGTCCCTGTAGTACTCTGAATGTTGCTCTGTGGCAATTGTAATTAAACAAATTAATATATTAATAGCAGCGTCCCATATGAGATCTGACCCCACAACATACCAGTCATTCAGCCTCCTGATCACTACTCCACACTGCTGCCTCAACCAAAGACTCAGGATGACATAGGCTAGGAGCATTAAAAAAATACCCAAATCTAGACCACAGACAAGGTAGGGAAGCCACTTACCAGAGTGTCCATATTGGGAAGGGCACCTTGAGATAGGGGTGACCTCTCAAAAACAGCAGACTCTGTGGAGGATTGGTGCTGGAGAGACATCTGCTTTTCCCCAAATGATATCCGTGAACATACGGATGCTGAGGACTGGGAATTAGACAGGCTGTTTGGAGAGCTTCCTGTGACAGGAGTGGAACAGCAAACATTTTTATCAAGCTCCATCCTTTGAGGAAGGCTCCTGGACTCCCGTCTCGCCATCTTGTCAGCCCCAGGAGAGAAATCCTTGCTCCTCGCCCTTCTGGGCAGCGAACGGGAACGATAATTATGCATCGACTCCTCGGCAGGCCTCGCGTGTCCCTGAAGCCAGCCAAGGGACCACTGTCTGCTGGTCTTGTCCTCCTCAGCCACCCAACTGTGGACCTCAAGCAAGTGCCTGAGGAAGAGGTTCTTCTCCAAATCCAGCTCCACTCGGAGACGTCGGATGAGGGCGGCCTGCTCTCCGTCCGTCTCCCATCGCAGTTTCTGAAGAAGCTGCTCTAGCTTGTGGTAGGTGTCCCTGTTGCTCAGGCAGGCGGGCTCACTGGGGGCTCTTTTGCTCGCCAGCCTGCAGGAGCTGCACTTGCCGATCAGTTCTTCTGCCAGCTGGCGTTGCAGATCCCGGGCGTGCTTGACGGCCGTCTCCCGCTCCTTTTCCAGGTAGACTCCGATCTTCCGCAGCTCCTCGTCTTTGCTGCGCAGAAGCTGCCGGATCTCCACCTCCCTCTCCTTGGCCAGGGCTTCCTTCAGCTTCTGCAGCTCCAGCTCTTTCTGCTGATCATGCCTAGAGGTCAGCTCCTCCACGACTCTCCGGTGCTCCTTCTCTGCTTTGGCCCTCAGGCGCTGGAGCTCGGAGGCGAACCTCCTGTGTGCCTGCCTGCTCTTGCCCCTTTCCACTTCGAGGGCGGCCTTTAGCTTCTCGATCTCCTGCCCACGCTCCCCGCGGAGCCAGCAGGTGCCTTTCTTCGACGAGAGAAGAAGACCGTTACTCCCGTCCTTGCCCATTGCGTTGATCGCAGCTTTCTTACAGCAAAGCAGGGACAGAGGGGGAGGTCAGCTCAGTTCAGGGGACAGCATGCAAAACTGTCGGACAGCCAACGAGGGCTCATGCAGGAGATTTTGGGAAGGGGGGATTGCAAGCTGCATGCATTCATCAAAGGGAGACTGAAAAGGCAAATGGGGGAGTTAGCAGGTATAGATAAAAATCAGAAACAAAGTTAAAAGATGTGATCTCAAACTGGCAATTCTGGCTAGGCAATCTCAATCGGGTTTTGGGATGGGTGCTACATATCAATTCTCAATTTACAAAATTAGGTTTTAAGCCCTAAACTTTTGCAGTAAGACTGAAATATAGAAATAGAAAGGTCTTTATGCCTCTATCAGACCTTGGATGAAATTTGGGTCAGTTATATCTTATATATCTTTCCTTTAAGTATCATCTATAAAAAGGGGATAACAATTTTGGATAGTACAGTCACAAAAAAAAAAACTTTAAATTCATCATAAACTACATCCAGCCAATTCACCCTGTAACTAGAACTAAATGAATGAATTTCAGCTCTTGTGCTCCATGAAGGAAAGAAATCAGTCCTGACCAACTCCTGTCATAGTTTGAGGCCAATTGCATTATAATCCTTTAGAAAACACATTTGTAAATAAAAAGAACAGCAATGATTCCATATAAAGCATCTTGGTCACACGTTATTTACTGTCTGTCAAAAGGGCAGGGGTATTCCAAACCTTAACTTTCACATTAGCAGTAACAGATCAATAAAGCAATTGACTTTACACAGCTCATATTACACTCATGGGACTCGGTCACTCTTTAGAAACAAGAAAAATGCTGGCTTTATTGAACATTTTCCTACAGAAGAATGCAAATGCGAATGAGCAGAACCCACAGTTTTAGCAGTGCATGTATGGTCTTACTGAAACTGTCCTGAAATTGAGTTGATTCTTTAAATCACAATCAATCAACTAGGTAATTTGGGTTCCAGGGCATGATGCTATTGGTCATATGCCAGAATTCATCTATTAGTCATAGAAATATTGTAGGCAAAGGCTAGAACAATTTCACTGTTTCAGAAGTAGGCATTTTACTGCTTGGTAAATTATATCATACCTGTACATTTAGTGATGACTTCATTTAATTACAAATGATGGTACCACGCTCTTTACACTGAGAAAGTGGCTACAGGTTTGATTACCAATCCTGCTTGTCCAAGACCTATTGTCTTCTCTTCACAATTGCCTCGGAAAGCAAACACAGCTCGCTCGGACTTTTACAGTGTTACTACAGATAAGTGTGTTCTCCTGTATGAAGCCATCTTTATGGTACAAAAGTAGATACGGTATATTGCAAAATACTGGTAAGGTGTCGTTCCCGAGCAGTCGAAATCTGGACCGCACCGAACAATTAAAATAGGTGGATATTTATATCTGTGCTGCTTGCAGGCCGCCGACTTTCTAATTCTCTTGATTTAAATTTCAATATCATCAAGCAGCAAGCGACGAGAACTGGAGCACTTGTCTCAGTTTAATTTGGGCGTATTTTACCGCTAGGAAAAAGCCAGGTTACTGTTCAACTATCAGAAGCGACTCCCCTCCTGCATGAAAACCGCCAGTCCAGTGCAGTTGCTATGCAGACACAATACTCTAGGCTGTAGCGGTTGCTATGCATGTCACAAATTTGCAATTACGTTAATTGAATAAGCAACAGTTAGATACCTCTTATGCGCGAAAAACAATTAACAGAACTGGAATATACTTTTACACAGAATCTTAGAAGATCTGGCACTTTTTACAAGTGGCAATTCATACCAGCAGTTTTCTTTGCTGAAAGTAGAGGGTCATTTAATAATAATACAAGTTGTCAAAAAAAATCAACATGTCACCAGCTGTGGATTGTCGTCCTCGGTTTAACTTTCAGATCATTTTTGGCGTGCCCGAAAATAACTCGGGAGTCTAATAATGTTGTAAAATAAATTCTGCCAAATTTGAAGTGTGTTTGATGACGTTATTATGGGGGGGAAAAGGGTTTTTAAAACACGGCGAAACAAAGGTCTACATTTGGAATATATGCACCCGGTGTGTCGCATACGCCGTAATTTGGGATTCGGTGATAGAATGTAGTTCACTGTTCTAAAGTTGAACACAGAAGAGAGAGAGAGAGAGGAAAAAAAACGCATACAAACTTACCTTCTACAATACTCTGGGGGAAACTGTAACAATTCTGTGCGCTACTTTAAAAACGATAGCTCAACACGAAACGGAAGAGTTTGCTCGTCAAAGCCTGAAACGCACAGGCAGTGCTGGGTACAGGTGATGGTATTTGTGTACTCGCGGAATCGATCAACAATTACATTGTATATCCGGACAGAGAGAAACTAAGTAGCCGCTACACTAAACCGCTACAAACAACCAGCCCTCGCTTCTCACCGCCCCGTCATCAGGATGTGGAGACCATGAGCTGCAAACCTAGCGACTACTAGCGGCAGTAGCTCAGAGGGGGCTCCGGTCACTTGGTGCAATTCCTCCTTTTTCCACAAGCTACAGGAATATTTATTCCAAGGCGCACCAAGATACCAAACCACCCACATCGATCCGAGAAACGTGCAAGTACAGCACGTCACGGTGACCGTGCGTTCTCTTCCAAAGCGCAGGCCTTACAATTGCACATTCAGAAGAGCTCCCAGCGTTGCCAAAGCAACAATTAGGGGGAAAAAAAACGTTTGCAATTACAAGAAATCATTGCTATTGGTCACACAACACAAAATCAACAACCCGTGTGTGATCAAAAAGACAGCTAGAATTAGAAACACGGTTTTGCCACTTCTTGAAAAACGAAAACACACATTTCATAATAATAATAATAATAATAATAAGAAGAAGAAGAAGAAGATGAAGGAAAATACTTCATACTTTTAATTATTCAATTATAAAGGCCGGTATACATACTGTACAGTTTTAAGCTATGCATGACCGTTTAACACAATCGTCTCATCTCAGTTTCGGACTTCCAGAGCAATGGAGTCAGTGTTTGTGAGACCTCCTCTTTCAGGCACTTCATTGCCCTGTAGCAATACACTAGACAGTGCCATTAGAAATTAAATTAAATGGGGTTCACTTAGACATTTCAGGGTAATTCTGTGTGCCAGTGATTATCGACCACTATCAACAAAACATTATCCTAACTGCTGTTTTGATTCCCAACTACCAACACAGTTCCACTAGGTTTTCTAACACTATAATATCGGGTGTCGTCGCAGGTGTGGATGAGAAAAAACTATCTTTTCGAATCTCTAACTGGGTTTTTGCCCTGTCATATCCTCCTCGAATGCTTTCACCGCAGTGCTATTATTTCGCTAACGATTGGAAAAAGCAAAACGCAAAAGAATGCCCATTATCATGTTTGTTTGATTGTTTGTTTGTTTGTTTGTTTTTCCTATATTGTCTATTTATTTGTAAATCACATAGCTGAGGACGAATCGTGGTCGATACAGTCCAGAGGCTTCGGGAACATCGTTCTTATTGCATTTGCTGTAAAATATGTAGTTCTGTCTTGAAAAACATGTCTACAAAGCTGCTTGTTGTTAGAGCCACTGCTGGAACATCTCGTTTCTTCTTCTTGGTCTCTAAACTCCAGCAGAGGGCGTTTCAATCCAATTTACACACGTGATGAAGTCAGGAAAAATGTGCGACCCACACGGGATAAAAACAAGCTACTGTGTTAGCTTACTGGCAGAGGGGAAAAGGAAACTGTGATCTTGTAGGGTTAAAAAATACCTCAGGTTTAAGAAGCAGTAAACACTGATGAACTCTATTTGTGACCTGTAACTAATTTCAGTTAGTTTAGGTGTCCTCCTTAGCAAAATCAGCCAGTTATGACAAACGAGAGGACTGTCGTCTCAGCCAGATAAATGCCTGCCTATAGCGAGGCTTGAAGATGAAACTCTCCATTCTTGTTGCTTTGGCACAGGATAAGTGACAATGACTGTGTGTGTGTGTGAGGGAGGGAGGCGACAGTCCTTAGCCTTCAGTCCTCTGTGGTATCACTGAATTACAATCCAACAGGAGAACAGACACATAGATCCAAAATGGAACATCCAGCAAAATAAGAAATTTAGTGATGACCGTAAAAAGAAGCATTATCAGATCTTGCCTCAGGATGTACAATTACTGGAGAGTAACAATGAAATTACTGGATTGACAGTCCTATTTGTTGAAAACATGATCATACGGAAATTATCAGTTCCTCTATGGCTATTTTTTCCTGTGTGCTTTGCCAGACTCTCATGTACAGTAAACTGAATAGCTGGTCTTGAATGATCCTGTAATTTTAAAAGTTCCCAGATAAGATGACAATACGAATACCTTTATTTAGTATTAGATATTCCGTAATTTGTAGAGTATATATACTCTTAAAAGGATATCTTGGCCAAATAGTTTGGGGCTAAGATCTTGATTTCTGATGTGAGGTACTGTAGATGTATCTGTTACTGGTTTTGCTATGATACCTGACTCAGAGTCTCTTCAACATTCCTCTTACTGTATATTCTGCGATCTGACAAAGGCTCAGCTGGACTCCAAAGAATATTCTTTCCATTGCAGCTTGTACTCTTGGTGAAAGTAAAACAGGTGCTGTTCGATATAATTGGCTGCCAAGAAGTTATTAAATCTGACATTTTCTTTAAAATCACATGTTCTTTAAACTTTTACTTTTGAGAGAACAGAAAAGCTTTGGCAGAAAATGTTAATATATTGCTTATTAAGCTTTGAATGTAAATGGTTTGATGTCAGATTCAATTTTAAAAAGTATCTCCTTTCTGCAGTCAGTGATTAAGCCCCTTGTGTTTAACGATCAGTAAATGAAATGTCCAGTACTGCAGTGTATTTTCTATTTACACACTTCTGTATTTCTTTAGATACCAGCAACATACTCTCTGCAGTGGAACACTCTGGGTCTTAGCTTGGTCATCAAGCACATACAGTAGGTGGTAGAGAAAGAGTTTACATGTGTCACTGAGCTAGATGTAAATATATAGATGTACTGTATAGATTAACTGAGGACAGTAATGAGGATCACCTGTCAATAAATTAATTAGCTTAAATTAACACACCAGATGAAGGCTCCACAGCCAAAATATTGTGTTTCCTTTCTTTTCAGCATGGAATAAACTTTTTACCTGTTCCTTTGCAGCCTACGCATGGTGACGCAGCTACCTACTTGAATAAATTAATTAGACATGACTGGTAAATGTTGAATTTTCTGCTACAAAACATTGGCTGCTCATATAAATTTTACCCTGAGTTGGTATGATCATTATAACCAATGTGAATTAAATATTACTGAATGTTAAGCTTGGATTCATCTTACCCAAATTAAGTCATACTAATAACAGCCAAAGTTATAACTACAGGAAACATGCAAGGAGGCTTTGAGTGAATTGTCGGTGCTCATAGCTTCCATCTGTAGTGTCTTATTGTACCTAAGATGACCAAGCCCTGTGCACAGAAGCATACACTGCGATATACAATCATATCTATACCTAGATACACATACAGTCTGACAGAGGTGTGACAAATAAAGTGCTTTCTGACAGTCATGTGCAGATTTCAGATTCTGGTTTCTGATGCAGTCCTGCTAGGCCTTTTCTCCTGTAGTATTCAGGGCATTGTATCAGTTTTCCCGCTGTCCTGCTGCAAACAATAAGCTCTATTTCCCTGTGCTTTTGTTGTGTTCATTTTTTATGCAACCTACTTTCTCGTATAAACGTGTTGTTGATAAGCGGGCTGGATGCCCAGAATTCTTTAATTCCTGGGCTTTAATATCTCTGAGCGCTCCTCAACACTGTGACCTTTTGAGTGCCATTTGCACGGCCCATTCAGTTCTGAAATCCAATCAGCTGCAGCCCCTCTTCAAATGGAAGTTTGAGTTTTCACCGCGGCGAAACTCAGTTAAAAATTTGCCTGTGTCTGAGTCTGTGTTAGAAACCCCGTCAGCTTCGGTGTAGTCTACTTTCTGATTTGTTTGAGAATGCAATAATACTGTATGACTTAGAGATGACTATGACATTTTTATATCCTTACATTATTGTACAAATTGTATCATTTTCAAATAACATTTACGTGGATAAGGATGTCTGTTAAATAGGTCTGTGCATGAAAAGATTTAGCAACATACAATAAGAGCATAAGAAGAATAAACAAACAGTTACTGGCCCATTTTGTAGTTAATGTGTAAGCTGATTGATCCAAGGATCTCTTCCAGGTGTAATTTTGAAAGAAACCAGGAAATCAGCAACTTGGTAGCTTGTTCCATACTCCCACAACCTTTTGGATAAAAAAAGTGCTCCTTTAAGTACACTCCCTTATAGTTTCCACTTGTGTCCTATAAGAAGATACTAACTCTATTCTTTTAGAACTCAATTTGTTTTGGAAATTTGCTCGTCTCTTCAGGGTCCTTATCACAGATGTTGTTAGAATTAATTATTGAACGGATAGGGATTCACGAACCTGGTTCTGCAGCACCTCACATCTGGGTTTCATTCCAGCTGAATGTGCTCACATAATCAAAGCCATATGAACTATGAACTAACACGTTGATTGATTGGTATATTTGGAAGTTGTTTGCTACTCAAAAGCTGGGATAAGACAGCTGTCCATTTTCTAACTGCTTCTTCCAACTGGGGGTCATGGGGGAGCCAGAGCTTGTCCCAGTGACCAACAGGCACAGGGCAGGGTACACCCTGGACAGGACACCTTCACACACTCTCACCAGGGCCAGTTTCCCCAGAAGCCAGTGGAATCACGGGCATGTGAGAGGAAACCCAGGTGAACACAGGGATAACATACAAACTCCATGCAGATACTACCCCAGGAACTGAACCCAGGGCCCAAGCGCTGTGAGGCAACAATGCTAACCTCTGTGCCACCATACCCCCCCTGTAAATGCATCATGAGACAAAAGTATTCATTTCTTAATTGCAGTGTTTTTATAGTTAGCTGGTTAATGGTGCTTCAAGAGAAGCACTGCATAGTGGATGGGTGCTGTTGCCCCGTATCTCTGGGGCTCTGGATTGATTCCAGATGGGATCTCTGTGGAGTTTGCATGGTTCTCCTATGTTCATGTGAGTTTTTCTTAGTGCTGCAGTTTTCTCCCACCTTCCAAAGACATGCAGATCAAATTGATTGGTTGGATAGGCTGATTGGTTTCTATATTGCTACTATGCCTGTGTGCCCTGTAGTGGGCTGGCCTCATGCCCAAGGTGTGGCTTTGCACTCTGTGCCTCCTGGGTGCACTTCCACAACCCTTTTCAGGAATGATCAGCTTTCTCCTGACGGATGGATGTACTAGGAGGACCTAAACTCTGCTCTCCATTAAACAGAGTGGGCTACAAAGTGGTATTGTTTTAAAACTAAAGCTGTCAGACCTTTTGGTTCTGTTATTCTAAACGCACCATAAATTGCAAGTGAAACTTTGCCGCTGGCCTCAGTTTCTGAACCTACAATTTAGCAAAATCTGTAAAATGATGCGAGCAGTAACTCGCAAGCAGCAAAACTGGCCCCACTACACTTGCTAAACACCAGACTTGGAATCATAAACCACAACGTCCTGCATATCTATCTGCCCAAAGCCTTAAAAAAATGCTAAAGGCTAAACCATCAGATGTGGATGTGTTTGTGCCCATTGTTTTCTGTTGTTTTGTTTTCGGTCCCTGGCTCAAGACCACTCCTTTTAATTTGTCTCTTATGTCTTGAGACCTTGTGATGTGTGTCTACTGTACATCCCCTTACGATTACAAGCATCTATACCGCCCTGATTCTCCTCCGGTCCCCTCAATCAGGCAGCTGTGCCTTTCACTTCGCAAAATGTTCCCCCTTATGCAACTCTTTGTACTGTAACTGTACAGCCTCAGATGGTCAGGACCGCACCTTCTCTGAGAGCTGGCTGAAACCGGAGATGCTCAGATATTGTGATGTGTTGCCTTTCAGCTTGCTTTTTCCTTTTAAGCACATCTAGGAGATATTGGGTGTAAGGACATTAACATACAATGGGGTTTTTACGTAATCATTGCCACTGAAACCTGGTACTTATATGCACTGAAGGTGAAAGAGATGAAAGATCTGAGTTCTCCTGTTGCCGGACGAGTTTTTTTCCCCAACTTGTTTTTTTCACACAAAGTTCCTACGTTTGTCCCTGTGAATCAGTGAACAGCCTTGGGAGGAAAACGTCTGCGAGTTACTTGAAATCTCAAGAAAAAGGCAAGCTTTGCTTGACACTTCTGGGGGACTTTTCTAGTGGAATACATAAAAATAAGGTATGTGGCTTCGATCTTTTGCAAAGTTGATGATCCAATAAATTCAGATTGAAGAGATAGTGGTTTCTGAACGGTTTTCACATGCAGGACAATTGAAGTAAACATTGAGTTAAAATAACAAAATATACATTTATTGCTACTTATATTGTTGGAAATGACATGTGTCTGCTTGGAACAAACAACATCATTGTTGAGGCTTGAACTGTTAGGGGTTTGTAAGGCTAAATATGATCCAGGTGCCATGATAACCTAGGTTAAAGTGCAATAAATATACCAATTTGTGTAGTTATAAACAGTATGTCTACAATTTTATAAAGTCAACCAAGCTGTACTGTATGTATAATTGCAGGGCACGGACAGGACTTGACATATAACACTTTTGTGCAAGAAACTTCACACAGCATATTCTGGGTCTGATACCAAACAAAATATACAGGTAGATGCGGAACTTCACACAATGTAAGTTGGCAAAAATCCCGCTTCTCTCCTAATGCAGTTTTATTTCAGGAGAACGGTCATTTTCTCTTGTTGATGGAGGAAAGGCACTTGTTAACAGGTGATCTTAGTTCAATTCACAACTAGAGGAAAACTCTGACTTCCTCACAGATTTGGAGGACCGGGTCCAGGAAATGAAAAGCCGGAGAAAAATTCCTCCTTGGCCTTTTGAGAGAGTGTTATTCTTCTGGTTATCTCTGACTTTTGCGGGTATTTGTAGGGCTGAGATCTTTCAGCTATTTCTCAGCATGGAGAGAAAGAGGAGGGAGGGGAAGCTGAGCACACACAAAAGACAACATTATTCCCTTGCGGATCCCCGCTACATCCTGCATGAATGGAGTATTGAAAAACATAACATTAGGGACTAGATTATTTTTCATCCTTCATAACTAAACCATTTGTCTGCAAGGTTTCAAGTGGTTTGTTAGCATGGCGCTCAAGTAGGATGGCTCTTTCTGGTAGTGTTTCAGCTCCTAATTGAGCACTTCATATAGATACAATGTGTCCCCCCACGTTCCCTTGTACAAAGTTGCTTTCCTGTGCCCTTGTTTCATTTAAGCTTCCTTGTGTTTAAAGAACAAAAGCAGAGCGTGAGTTACAATTTTATTGTTGGGAACAGAACAAGTCATGGGGACGTCAACGACACAAACAGAAGAGGGATCTGTATCATTTTTGTAGCTCACAGGTGGCCCTCGCGCAGATGAGCAGAATAAATAGATTTAACTTTAGTTATTAAAGCATATAAATCAAGCAGAGCCTGCGCATGTAAAGTACATGTGCAAACTGTGCATCTGATGTACTCATTCAGTAGCACTTGTATTTAACACCATTCGCCATGAGCTTTTTTTCTGATGTCCGCTGTCTCTCCTAGGAAATGTCAAATTCTCCACTGTAGGTTTCACTCAGAACTGTATCCCCACGCTCCCTTAATCGGCTAGACACTGCAGGCAGCCTTATATTTATCCAGGAAGAGCAAAGACATTTCGGGCATTTAGTATATTTACTTCTGATGCCACATGCTGTATGGTAAACCCATGTATTAAAAGCAACCCGAGATGTTCTTAAAAGAGCAAAAGAGTTCCAAGGCAATCCTCCAGCTCTCATTGTGTGTGACTCTATAAAGATTGCATTACAGGGCTTGTGACTACTGTAACTCCAGAACACAGCCAGCAGAAGCCATCGAATCTGCTGTGAAGCACACACCTTCTGTCTGTAATGGCATGTTGTTCTGGTCTTGGGTTTTGCAATCACAACAGTCTCTTGTGGCAAGTGAATGTCCTGTTTTATACAGGAAAACAGCATCTTTAAACAGTGTCTTTCATTTCCAGCCTGTCTTATTCTACAATACCACCATGTGCTACTGAACAACAAGCCTGACAGAGTCACTTGTTACTGTGTTCCATTCACAACACAGATTAAAAAAAACAAAACACTAGCTCCAGTAAGTGATGGCTGGAACTAATAGATATCGCATCTGGATTTTGTAATCACCGCACTCCTCCTCTGAGCTGGAAGGCTGTCAATCAATTGACCATTACGCAGTCTGTGAAAATCACTGCTCATTCACTGGAATGAGCAGACCTTCATACCAAAGACAAACTGCAAGTTTATTAAGTAAGTTGCTGCTGAAATTCACTGCTCATGGCGGGTTTTATCAGCAATCATTACTGCATATTGCTTTGTTAAAGGTGAGGATGCTAATTTGGATTAGGTAGTTCCTAATGGCCGCTTCCAATAAATGGAAATATTTGCAAGCTTACAATGACTTACAGAAGGGCTGAAGGGCTTTTTACCTTGATTTTTAAAATAAATGTATATTAATTCTCCCACGTCTGACCAGGGTGGTCGTTAACTGGCATGACTGTGTTGCAGGAGCAAAGGAGAAGGCTCCAGCAGCCTTCCATCACAAAGACATCTCCAGTGAAGCTGTCAGAAGAGGAAATGAGAGGCAACAGCCCAGACAATCTGCTCAGGGGCTGGAGGCCTGCCATCTGGCTGCTGGCCTTGTTCCTAATGTCTCTTCTCATCGTGATTTTAATGAGTTGCATCCTCCAGTTCGGTAAGTCCTTCAATGTAGCCTTATGAAATGCTAGTAACTGGAAAAAAATAGAGTACCTACTGTAGATTACAAAGGCAAAAGGTATTTAATGTTAAAGTTTTGACCCAGGCCTCACACTCCCAAGGTTGTCTGCTTTGTCAGCTTTTTATGGAAGTGCTGACGTGCAGAGTGAGGAATGCTTCCAACAAACAGTGGAAAGGCCGCATCGTGGCACAGCTTTGAAAAACAGGCACTGTTGCTGGTTTAGGAGCTGCCTTTCTGTAACGAAAGCATTCTTTCAGGACCCTATGCAGACGACACGATCCGGGGAAGAGTGGGGGAAAACACGGGGAAAAAGCATGCGGGAGTCGGGAATGAAAACAGGGAATGAAAACAGGAATGTTCGGGGGAGGTGTGGCCGAGGCAAACAGTCCAGAAACAAGTCCAAGGGGGAATCCGAGAGAAGGCGTACATCCAAAATCAGGCTGTCCATCCAAGACGAACAGAATAAAAAGTATCTCACTCAAGATACAACAGCATTGTCTTCAACCAGACTTGACCCCTCCACCTACCAGAGATGAGTCCAGAAACCTCCTCATTATGCTATACTCTTTCGAGGGGTGTACTCTAGAAAAAGTCATCTTAAAAAGTCAACAGTACATGCAGGTACCTCTGTGCCTGATGTAGCTACCAATTTCTTTTCCTTGCCCAGCAGAATATCAGATCATTTATACATAAAACGTTTACAAACAACAGGAGATTATTTGGCTCATCTAGTCCCTTTGGTAGTTGGTAGCTTATTGATTCCAGGGTCTCATCCAGCCATTTCTTTAAAGAATCCTTGGGTATTGCCTTTAACAATATGACTGGGCAGCTGATTCCACACTCCCACCACTCTTCGGGTAAAGAAGAGCCTTGTGTTCTTATTTTTAAATGCGCATCCACTTCAGAAATTCAGAAAATGCTAAGACAAGCTTTGCCAGCCTGACCTTGCTCATCCAGATCATCATGAACTAAAGACTCTAAAATCCCAAAGAGTGGTTTCATCTCATTCCACAATGAGTGAGTTAGCTTCAAACATGGAAAGATCATGCAGTTGCTTTACTGTTTATTAATCACCAAAGAACTAAAAAATGTAAAAATCTGCTGTTTGTAATTTTCTTAATATTTATTATTTAAAATCTAAAATCCTAAAACACATACCAAGAACATTATTTTAGTCAGTATTCATGCCTGTGTGTGTCAGAGATCAGTTGTATTTTTATAAAGCATTTTTTTCTTGTTAATTTGTGTTTCTTAACTTTTAAGGATATCTCAGTGTGTCCAAAAGAGAAACTGCTGGTAAGTGTAATGCTTTTGCATTGTCTACATTTGTGTACTTTTTTTGAATCCTTATAATAGGGATTGACTTTCCAATAATTACATATGATGTGTAGATACTGTATTAGGTTTGTTAAAAATTCAATATAATTTTAGATGACTATAGAGCATTAAGAGCATTTTTATTTTGGGATGTAGAAATGTTTTCACTTTGAGAACGAACTCACACAGACAAAGCTTTAGATGTTTTTATTCCACTGTGAGTGTTCTTAAGCCCGAAGTCCCTGCTTTCCTGTGGATTTATTGAGTTGTATTGTGTTTTTAATACGATAACAATCAATGTTTTAATAACACAACAGGTCTTCTGACCTTTAAAATGGACAAAATTAACAGGAGATCACCCACGGAATGACCCAATTTAGGTTTTTGTTTAAAAGCCTCTCATCCTTTGTTTGGAAATGAAACTATAAACCATCAAGGCCTTTAGCAATAACACTAACAAAATACAAGTGGCATTCTTCTGAGAAAGATAAATACCTTTGTGTTAGTTTCTTTACTGTAAAGCCCCAGAACACCAATCCATGAAACACCACAATGCCTGTGGAATTCCTTTGAGGAACATACACTCTTTCAAACACTTAACATAATCTGTTTGCTTTTGTGCCTGTGACACAGGGGCACCTTGATGTGATCTAGAAGCAGACATTTCAAGATGGGATTCCCATGAGCTTTCTCATAGTACCCCCCTGCCGAAGACAGAGATTTAAACATCCTTGTTTTCAAACCAGTTCTTGCCCTACTTCTTCCCTGACAAATCTGGATTTTGATTTCTGATGCTCTTCCAGCATATTAATTCAATTTGTGTCTAACTAAAGCAGAAAGGCCACAGAGTATCTCCTAACATATGAAATAAATTCACAGGAAGATCCCAATATACAGTAACTGTGCCTTTAAAGGTCAAAAATGATAACTACCTCCCTACAAGTGAATAATTTGACCATAGGCTTTTCTCTCTCTCTCTGCTCTACACAGCCAACAGGACTTCATCAGTACTATCTCCACCGCAGGGTAAGAATACACTACACAGTTCTTCCTTCATTAAAGGAAAAATCTGTTTTATGGAAATATACTGCAAGCCCATTTAACTTAGTTTTACTACAAATTGACCTCTTCCCAGTGACCTGTGAAAAGACTGTGACACTTTTGTAATCACTGTTGTTTTAAAGATCAAGTTTTATTCCCTGTTAGGTGTGCTGCGATGGTGCTGCATGCCACTTGAAAACCATCTATTCATGTGTAAATATGTGATTATTGGCCAAATGAAAACCAAAGCAAGCTGGCACGGTGGCACAGTTATTAGCACTGTGGGGGCCCTGGGTTCAATTCCAGACCTAGGAACCTATCTTTCGGAGATTGCATGTTCACCCTGTGTTCACCTGAATTTCCTCTGAGTGCTCCAGTTTCCTACCTTAGTCCAAAGACATACTGGTAGGTAAACTGGCTTCTGGGAGAATTGGCCCTGGTGGGAGTGTGTGTGCCCCCCGAGATGGACGCGTCCTGTCCAGGGTGTACCCTGCCTTGTGCCCATTGCTTGCCAGGATAGGCTCCAGCTCCCCCCATGACCCTGAACTTGAAGAAGCCTTTAGAAAATAGACATACACATAGATTAAACTAAAAAAGCATGGGATTTCTCTCACCAGATGATTTTTTTGAGTTAGTACTGCTTTTTCCTTCCTTTTGGGTGAATCTACTTGTGTTGCGTGTACCTTGTATGGTTGCATGTGTTTTTTTTTGTTGTTGTTGCCAAGCGCTCTATTATGGAAAAGACAGAATGAAATTCATTAGCTGGCTGTAGAGCCCAGGGCGGTCGGTGACGCTGTTCTCAGGTGAGCGCGTGTTCGCAATGTGTCCCCCAGTGCGCCTGGCGAACGGCAGGAACAGGTGCGAGGGCCGCGTGGAGATCCAGCACAACGGCACCTGGGGCACCGTGTGCGACGACGACTGGGACATGGTGGACGCCAACGTTGTGTGCCGGCAGCTGGGCTGCGGCCTGGCGCTCGCGGTGGCCAGCAGCTCGGCCTTCGGACAGGGCACTGGGCCCATCCTGCTGGACAACGTGGACTGCCGGGGAGGAGAAGGGGGGCTGGGCCAGTGCGAGAGCCTGGGCTGGGGTGTCCACAACTGCTACCACTACGAGGATGTGGCTGTGACCTGCAGAGGTACCAGACTTAAGCTGTTCTGGGGGGGAGCCAGTGTCACATATTATTGATATGTATTATGTCCTTTTGTATTTTCCTTGCAGCTTGCAGCTTGCAGCTTCCTTGTATTTTGGCAGAACTATAGCACACACAAGCAGACTTGAGCAGTCCCTGTTCTCTGAATTACAGAAAGTCAGATGGACAGACGGCACTTAACAGTTATGTGTTGTGTTGCCCTTGGTTTAGTAAAACCTGATGTGCTTCCTAGCATTGAGTTAGGCTTCAGAGCGGCTGTAAGTGTGCTAACAAACCTCCACTTGTTGTGATTGCTGTCACAGCGATTTTGCATGGTCAAAAGCCCAAGACACTCCTGCTTGTGCTGCTTTCCAAACCAGATCTGTCTTGGCATCAGCGGTCAGTTTCCCTCAGTTGTACAGATGGGTCTCTGATGAATCATCTCACACATACGTGCCAACGTTATTGAAGAACAGCTCCAAGAAACCTCATTTTCATGTCCTCTTCTGCCTTCTGTGCCTGGAAGATCGGTTCTTTAGGAAAAAAATCATATCAGCCAATCTCAAAATTGCAAATATTTTTTTCTAAGGCCTGTGCAGTGGAGCAAATGAATATTCTACAGAAAAGTGCAGTTCACGGTGCTGAGCCATTTACTGTGTTCAAGATGTGTATTGGAGTAAACTCCTCTTTCGTCTTGTGTTTTTTACAGACACATCTGCGCCAGCAGTTCGAGAACACAGCAATTTTGCTACCCCACCTCCACAGCTCACAGGACTCCGTAAGTTTCAGCTGTTCTCTTCTGTTGTTTTCAGTTTTGTTGCAACATTTGCCTGTTCTTTAGTGGTCAAGCTCCAGCAGCTGCATCTTCCCCCACTTTAAGAGTATGGGGGAACTGTCTGCATTTCAAAAGTGTTTTAATACAGCCTATACTTTGTCCCTCAGGTTAAGAAAAGGCATGGGAGACTTATATTCCAGAATTCTGTAACCAAAGGTCTCACTTTTTAACGTCAAATGTCAGTATGAACTTGAGGGTGTTCTTGACTGTAGAGTTCTGCTGATCAACTAGCTGTTTTTTAGTCTTACGTTTTTCTCTCCATCTGCACAGTAATGTCTTTCCAAACAAGGTCAGAATCTAGAGTCTTCATGGCAATTTTAGTAATGAAGAGGAAAAAAGCCCAGTTATTAAATTAGACTCAACCAAATATCGAATTAGTCTCCATTTTGAATATATAATATTGCCGTCAAAGGCCATTTTGTTTCATCCTCTTTAATGAGAGTACTAGTCACATTTCATTGGGAAAGACCCAAGCTCCTTGGGTGAAGGAATCGGTGGACATGCCCTACTGTGTGTGCCGAAGAAAGTTCAATAGCAACTTGAGAAAAAGTGCTGCTCAGTGTTTAAAACCTTTCTCAATGCCAAAAATGTCAGCACTGGATTTTGTCACCAGCTAAATATTCTGGGCAGCACGCAAGAAACAAGAAGAGGCGTTGAGTCGAACTTTGCTTCCTTACCTCTTCCTACAGTAGCATTGCAAAGGCATTTAAAGGCATTCACCAAAATCAGACAGGGAGTTCTTTTGAGATGAAGGAAAATACAGAGCCAAGGATTCAGTGTTTTGTATTTGTTCCTAGTAGCTTACTGCTCTAGTACTGCTCTGTGATTTCTGTCTTTTTCCTGAATAACTTTTGGGCTTTTTGCTGGGGAGTTTGAACAGGAAATTCTGGGAACAGAAGTTATGATGGTGATTATGAACAGGATTATTATAAAAGAGTTTGAACTGGGCAACACATACTGTCAATGTGACAGCTGTTTAAAAGGACAACAGTGCGAAGAGATTCCCACCACGCTTTCCATTTCGAGCTTCACGTGGCAATAAGCTGTATTTAGGGTAAGAGGCAGGGTGAGGGCCGTGATTTGATGTCAGCGTGAGTTTGGGGTCAAAGGTGTAGGGTCAGGTGGTGTTTCCTCCTGTCTTTTTGGGGAAGCTCTTCAGGATTATCTGTCACCTTGAGGAAAATCTCCAGCAGTGGTTCCTCTCTGCTGCCTGCCGCTCTTAGCTCTGCCCTGAAGTTGCCCTTGTCTTCCAGGAGAGGGCACCATTCGCCTGGTGAGCGGTGCGGACTCCTGCCAGGGCCGGGTGGAGATCTTCTACCGGGGGAGCTGGGGAACGGTGTGCGATGACGACTGGGGCTTGAGAGACGCTGATGTGGTCTGCCAGCAGATTGGCTGTGGAAGTGCCCTGACCTACACCACCAATGCCTTCTTCGGATATGGCACAGGCCTCATCCTCCTGGACAACGTCAACTGTAACGGCAACGAGCCCCTCCTGGCCTCCTGCTACAGCCTGGGCTGGGGGATTCACAACTGCGGGCACCACGAAGATGCTGGAGTGATCTGCTCAGGTAGCTGTACAAGCACATGTCCATCACTGGCTCACACTGGCCTTACCAGTACATGTGTGTTCCAAAAAGCTACTACTGCTCATTCGGTACTGCAGAGAACTGAGTTCTTTGTTAAACCAGGGACTGGAAACACTCCTAATAAGTACAGAGCATATTTTACAGAATACAGTGCAAGGACTTCAGATTTGCTAGTGTTTGTTACACCAAAAAAAGCAAGAGACCACTGACAGGAATTCCTTATACTGTATTAATTAAGTTATACCAATGTGCATTTGAATATTTCATTTTTTCTCAAAGAAAGCCAGCTAACTGAAATTACAGTTACTCTGCAAGAACTCTGTCCTCAGGATTTTCACACAGCCATTGATCTCTTGAATGTAGGTCTAGTGCACAATGTGGAAAGCAAAATTGTGTGAGTGCGTATACTCCATTATCAGATTTTAAATACACTTGTTAAGGAGCAGAGGAAACCATATCAGAACTAGAAATTCCAGACTGATATTTTAATTCTGTATGTCTATAAACAAATTTACTGTATGGGAATAATTTAGTCACAAATTAATTCTGTATAGTAATTAATAGTACTATTAATAGTAGCAGGTTCACGTTCTGAACTAATGTCTGTGGCTCAACAATAGAGTAGTTAAAAACAGCTTAGACTGGCTTGGCATAATTCACTCACCCATATCAAAATATCAAACAGTTTGCTTATTTCTATTGAGTGTTACAATATCTGGGAAAATTAAAAGAGCTAAAACCACAAACCAGCTTCTCTTGCAAGCCTCACGCTTCTTCATCTATGTTTGTCCATAAAATGCAAACGTTATCATTTTATAACAGGCTCAACAACGCCAACACCTTCTCTAAACTTCACTGCAACAATGGCCAGAGCTCTTGTGTACAGGATGGACGCTACTACAGGTAAGATTGCAGGTACTGGACCATCACTGCTGGAGCTCTGCCTGTCCTGGGAAAAGGCATGCATTTGATTTCTGTGATACTACACACAAAACTGTATACAGTTTAGTACAGGGAAATACTGAAAATGAAGAGAAAAATATGATTTATCAGTGTACTGTATTGTAGAGAGTTGATATGTCTGAATTTATATTTGATATGCAGTTTCATGGTTACAGTATACCTCAAATACAGTATGTTGCGCAACACATAGATAATTGAGAATTAGTTTTGAATATATCAGCTCACCTGACACTAGGTGGCAGTCTAGAATCGTCATTTTGAGAAAAAAAAGTAAATTCACTGTGTTCTTCTGCCATATTTAAATAATTTGAACCAGGCACTGCACATTGCATCACATTACAAACACTGCATGATGTTCTACACCAAAAACCTGACAAACAATGGAAGATTTTCTATAAAAATCTACCCAGATAAAAGAGACATAACTGCTGACAATCTGTTTAGTTAGAAACAATTTTATAACAAAGACAACATTTACAAAGGCTGGAAAGTACAACTGTATAAAGATGTTTGTATGTGCAGTATAGTTTTTATACATTTCATTTTCTTTATTCTTAGCTACAGATGTCACAGCAACGATTTCTCAAACAATGAAGGTTCAAAAAACGTCCACTGTACCAGCAGGTAATGACAACACGGGGGTGAGATCTATCCTAATGTCAACTCGTCATTATGGGTGCTTTTGCCTGCCTATTGGCACAGTCTTGTAGGGATTAAAATCTGAAATATTCATAACTTCAAGGTGTACAGTGTGTTTCGTATCCCTGAGTGAGTCAAAATGTACAGAAATGATAACTCATTGGTCATAGAAAGTTTTGTGTTTTGTTTGAGTTTCAGTTTTTATCTTTGTTCAGGCATTTAGCTGCTAAGTAAATGCCATTCCACTGGACCTAGAAGCTGGAATGGCTCTCTCAAAGCATTAAGTTGGGAAAGGTGGTGTGGACAGAAAATAGTGGGATACAATGCCCTGAAAGGCATTTAATCCTGTGCATACTGATACACATCTTAGCTTGACTCATTCAACCTTAGTGAACAAGAAAGCTTTGTAGCAATGACAATGTTTGTTATATTCAAATGAAAAAGACCAGTGAGACTATATTAGAGAATGGTAAACAAGAAGTGAAATGCTGCAATAGTACAAAAACATATGAAGTCATTTAATTCAGTTTTCAATGGCTGTCATATTCTGTTTCCATTCCACTTTGTCAGGAATGGGTTTCAGTTTTGCTTAGTGCAGGAGGGAAGGAATAATCTAATCATGTTATCATTATTTGCAGTCACATGATATCACATCATTCACACAGCACATCTTAAAAAGCTGGCCAGTTGACTGCAGTGCGGTGATGATGCTAGTTTCCTCAGTCCAAAAACACAAGACATATCAGCAGATTCAAGTGCATGTCAGTCCCAAAGGTTTTCCAGTGTTTCAAAATGAAACGGATTCAGACAAAGCACAGATCCTTTGAACTGCTGTGGGAGAGAGAGCAAGAGATTTCAGTCAGCAAGTCTTTATTCAAGGACAGTGATCATGGGAGATCCATATACAATGCCATATTTGCAAAGTGCAGTTATTTGTGATTTAAGCTGATGGATGGATGGATATTAAGAATGATTTGTTTCAAACAATACTTCACTCTTGAGAGGAGAATCAGCATAGTCCACTGTGCTGAAGAAGTCCCTTTATATCTCATTTTCAAAAACCCATTCATCATGTTATGTGAAGTTATATATTTATTGAATTCTTAACAGAGAGTACAATTCAGCTTAAATATGTATATAGAGGGGGTATGTCTTTAAATAGGCTTGGTCAGTAAGGGGTTGAATGCAGATCGATTTTCTCTGACCTTTTGTTCTCTTGGCTTCCAGTAGGGGGCGCTATACGTGTGGTGAATGGGAACAACACCTGCCAGGGTCGGGTGGAGGTTTTCCACAACAACGCCTGGGGGACGGTGTGCGACGACGACTGGGACCTGGCCAACGCTGATGTGGTGTGCAGGCAGCTGGGCTGCGGCCTCGCGATCGAAGCCAAAGTGCTGGGCTACTTCGGCTACGGCTCCGGGCCCATCCTGCTCGACAACGTGGACTGCGCTGGGACCGAGAACTACCTCACCGACTGCTTCAACCTGGGATGGGGCCAACACAACTGCGGCCACCACGAGGATGCAGGAGTCATCTGCAAAGGTAAGGCGGCCTTGGCTCTCCTCTCGGGAACAGCCAATTAGTAAAGTCTGTGCCTTGGAGCTGAGGGTTCTGTGCCACTGTGCCTTGAAGGATTCGTCAGAGTGTCTCCATCCTGTGTAATGGCAGACGCCCAGCAAGGACTTGATATTTCATCAAAGGCTAAGAAAGCTCTGGCTGCTTAATGTTCACTCGCTTTTTCCCTACGCATGTTCCTCCATGTCTTCATTCCTGCTCTGGGAATACCTGTCGCTGATGGATACTGGCATGACCTAGGCTTAAACCAATTTCTTAATACCAGATTAAACATGCCATCAAAGGAGTTGACTTTTGGGGGACAAAAATCCCAAATTAAAATTCATGATTCATGCTCTCTATCATGTATTGAGATGCTTACTCCCACGCAATGTTCCAAAAATCCCAGATTGCAAAGTGGAGACTTGCTTTTGAAATTTATGATTTAAGACCACCTAAGACAGTAAGTTAGAGAAAAGTATGGAGAACGGTGTTCATATTTCAACTTGCAACCTATGAATCATCACACTGTATGTGATGAAGCTACATACAGAAGCTACTGTATGTGGATAGCCTTCCACCCATCCATGATTAGAAAGCTTCTTATTCCTGGTAAGTGACAAGGCAACGTGGAGCCTATCCTGGAAAGGCAAGGCTACCCCTGGGATGGGAAGCCAGTCCATCCCAGGGTCCACACGCGCATGCTCCATCGCAAACTAGGTGGAAACCGGAAGAACATGTAAACTCCACACAGGAGATGCGCTCTTCTAAAGTCGAACCCTGGGTCTGAGAGCCGAGAGGCAGCAGCAGTAAATGCAATATCGCCTTGCCTTTGCCATGTGGGGAGTGATGAATAAACTCATGGAGGGTGAGGTGAAATGTTTTTAAAAGACAATGGGGAACTCACTAAATTCAAAGGTCATTGAATAAAACTCATTTTTAAGTTTAAGAATAAATTCTACATTTAGCAATAATTTGCACATTTTTTACCAAACAGTATAGTCAACCCATGCCTTAACTACAATAGCAGCAGCCATAACCAAAAATGTTCTGTTTCGGTTCTGTGGCCTATTGTTTTGTTTTTTTTACTGTACTGTGCTATATGTGTTTTTATAAAGCGCTAATGCTGTTTAAAGCAGAAGCTCAAGGCCCAGACTACCTGTTAATTTTTTATCGAGCCCAAGAAGACTAACAGCAAAACGGACTCTTTCTGTTACAGCAAAAGAAATGCCCCCAGCTTTTAAAGACTTTGGCATTACATCTACAACTGCCTCCATCAAAGCACCCACTGAAGGTAAGTAGCCCCCAGAAGTACAGCAAACAGGGTGTTTTTCAAGAACACTAAAAAAATTAGATCTGCATTGACAGTCTGTGCAGAGCTAGTCGCAGGGAATACAGTATATAGAGCTGGTAAAGCCTGTAGAAACCCCACATATTTGACCATGGCTGGAAATCTGCCTGGATTCCCATTATCTTAGTTCCAAGTGGGATAGGTAAGGAAAATGGACCCATTGTGGCTTTAACTAACTTCACCATACTACACAGTCAGACAGACTGATGTTGCGTTTACAAAGTGTGATTCTCCCATTGCTCCATAGCTCAGTGCCACTGACAGTGTTGTAAAAGACAGCACTGGGTATCTGAGGAAGTTAAAAAGTCATCAGTCTACGAAGAGGCACAATCTGAAATGGGCTGCCCAGACATCTGATTATTTCTCAGGTGTGACAAATAGAACAGCATGGTGATGCATTGGTTAGCAATTCTGCCTCACGGAGCTGGGGCCCTGGGCTCAATTCCTGCTGTCTGTGTGGAGTTTGCATGTTCTCCCCGTGTGCCTGTGGCTTTTCTCCCACAGCCCAAAGACATACCGGCGGGTTAAATGGCTTCTGGGAAAGTTGGCCCTGGTGTGAGCGTGTGCGAATGTCTGTATGTCTGCGATGCATGGGCGTCCTGTCCAGAGTGTGCCCTGCCTCGTGCCAGTTGCTTGCCGGGATAGGTACCGCCCCCCCACCCCGCGCCCCTGAGCTGGTGAAACAGTTCAGCAGACGGATGCAGGAGTGTGACCTGCGCTGGCGCTTGTCCTCCCCCAGGCTCAGTGAGGCTGGTGAACGGGACGCACCGCTGCGAGGGCCGGCTGGAGCTCTTCTCTCGGGCCCAGTGGGGCACGGTCTGCGACGACGCCTGGGACCTGAGAGACGCCCGCGTCGTGTGCAGGCAGTTGGGCTGCGGCAACGCCACCAGCGCCCGGGAGGAGGCTTTCTTCGGCCAAGGCAGCGGAAGCATCCACCTGGACAATCTGAAATGCCGGGGCGACGAGACCTCCCTTCTGCAGTGCTCTCACATAGCCTGGAACGTCCACAATTGCAATCACTCAGAAGACGCCGGCGTGACGTGCCAACTTTTGTGATTCCCCTTCAAGGCCTCGCCTGCCTCCCCCAGAGGGTACCTCGAACTTTGTGTATATTGTGTAAATACCCAATCAGCTTCCAAAGGAATATAAATATATATATCCGTTTTTACCATGCACTTTATAAATGTATTTGAATAAAATCTTCGCCTACAAAAAAAGAAGAGAAGAATATGAAGCTCTGAGTTCATTCCCTCAGAATGCTGAAATATTTACAATCTGTGCAGCTCTTTTAAAACATTCTTCAGTAGTGGAGTAAGGGGGCCTGGAGGAGGTTTATCAATAATTTACCCGTCAGAGAAAAGATTGCAGACACATATACGAAAGGAAGCTGGCTTCTGGGAACCATGACCAAAACCCAGATAAAGTCCTGCCTCTCCAGTCGGGATGAAGATCAGTACAGAACACGTTTTGTCCTAACACACAAGGCCTAGTCCCAGGCTTTGGTTTATGCTAAAATAAACTTCTGCTCCCAGGAAATAATACATTTAACCGCAGCTTGTTGGCTGTTTTCTCTATAAGTAAAGCTTGATTTTTAAGCTTGAAAGACAACCTTGAAAGCCCACTGACACGCACAAATGTCATTTTCTACTTTTGCAGCTCAAATTTCCTTGTGAGGTAGGCACTATCTGAGCTCTTATTTTATAAAAACTGATTTTTCGTTTTGTGAGTTTAGGTCAATCAGTTTGTCCCTCTCTCACCAAAAGCATGTTCTGTTATACTACACTAACAGTACACTAAAGATGTACAGCTGTATATTTCAGTCTGTGTTCATCATAAACAGTGATTACACTGCAGTTTTGGAGTCAGGGATCCATGCTGATTCCTTCCACATACTGAGCCTATTGTATGACTGTTAGGTTTAAATCTGTTTCCATCTACTCACAGCGTTGTGACCAACATAATTTTCTAGTTGTCACTCTGAACTCTCTGTTACAGAAGTAAACCAATCTTCAGGCTTTACTGATATGATCTGGATCTCCGCTCCTGACTCCAATTCATAATTACCAATGGAAAAAAAGTATCTAAAAATCTATAAAACCTGCAAGATTATGTGTTTGGAGAAACAGCTCTGTCTTTTTCTGATACCTATTTAGAAACATTTACAAAGGAAACAGAAAATGATTCTGTGTTGAATGTTCAATGTTATTTGTTATAAACACTGCACTTAAATCTTCTTTTAATATGCTGAACAATACAGTATATTTAATTTAAAAAAAATAACAGCTGAGAAAAAGCTCTGAAAGAACTATTCACACCCAGTGGGATTCAGTCTGAGACATTCCAAAACATCTGTATAGAGGGAAGATTTTCATAGGGAAATGTGGTTTATCTCCTTTGTCTTCTAACTGAAATACCTGCATTTATTCCTGCGTTCACTCAGTGTATTTCGTATTAGTATTGTATTTTAACCATGGTTTTTTTTTGATGATTTTGAGCTTGTTGGTGTAAAAGCGATAATGTACGTGTCTTTAGGAGGGTTTTTTTCCTAATGCAGTCTATCCAGCTGAGTCAAGGAAATTGATCAGCAGTCAGAGTGATGAGTAATCAGGGCCTTTTAGAAAAGTGCAGTTTTGCACAGTTGCTGCCCCGATTCAGAAAAGCATGGCTTGCAGCCAGACTTAATACAGTACATTTGTCAAGTTGATGTTTGAGTATTTGAAATGTTATATTCATCTACCACTACCACAAGGTGCCCTGCTGATTTACAGTGTCATTATTCAAAGCTTAAACATTTTCCTTCCTGCTAAATAACATTTTTTGAAGTTTATACAAAAGCCACCCTTCTGGAGGATGAATCTATTCATTCAAACTCCTATGCAGTTACACAATTGTTAATCAAAACCACTACTATTTTTTAAGGGAGATAGTCATACATTTTCCAAATGCTCTTTTTACATGGGGACTATTCAAAGTAATCAGCCGATGCTCTTTGCTATTGAGGAGAGGTAATATATGTCATTTTATCGGTTCTAAGAATACAGAAAAAAATATTAACCCCCAATAAACTGTACAGTCTAAAAAACAGAAAGTCTAAAAAAAAGAAAAGAGATTCCCTAAGCTTTTTTCCTCAATGCAGAAGAATGGAACCTTGAAATAATGGGATGAAAGTCATGAAATCACAACTACTGTACATGTATAACACTTATTATCTATACTTTATGTTTTTACTGTGGTTTACTTGCACTGATCCCTAATGAATATTTTACCATAACTTCAATGTGCTTTACTACACTATATAGATTTTTCTCGATGGTATGCAACAAATGGTACACTATTATGCATCCAGCAGGTAGAAGTTTCATAATTGGTTTTCAACTTCATTACTGTCTTTAATAATTAAGTGATGTCCTATGCTTATACAGGTTTAGCTTGTCTTTCACTATGTAAATCTGCAACAGATAATTACACAGCTACATATAACACACCCTAAAATACATCACACGGTTATACCAAGTTATACCAAGATCATTCATAATCATCTTTCACTTTCTGCTGAAGTACTGTTTTGGGAACGGTAGACTTAAAGACTTTTCTTAAAAACTAAAACAAAATACATTTTGAGGTGAAAACGAATTTATTAAGCCAAACATTTCTGTCAAGAAATATCTAATTTTCAAGTCGAGCTTTGGTTTGAAAGCTTTCTTTTTCCTCATTTTGCTGGTCTGTTACGGATTAAGATTTCAGGTAGTGCATAGAGAGTTCCATTGCTTGACAGCTCTGAACAGTGTAAAAGAATGATCAGTGAAGATATTACGCTAATGATTTAGCACTGCAGGTTCTTAAGCTTCTGAAGTAGAATGATTTGCTTAATTTACATTTGAGAATTTTGTTTCAAAGGATATTTTGAGAAAAACACAAGGCAAAGCAAAACTACATTAATGGCATCTGATGTCCCAACAACACTTCAGTTATTTTGTAAAAAGCATTTATTTAAGGGGCTGAAATATATATGGCTTATTTTTTTCTTTATTTCATTAAAGTTTTTTAAACGTTTATTTTAAGAGACTTGGTTCTTAAGTGAAGTCCTAAGAAATATTACTTGTGAGAACAGTTACTTGTTCACAAACTGCAAGCAAATGTACACTAAAACTAATAGATGTATTCTGGAATCTGCTGCAATCTAAAGTACATCTCTCTTTAGGCTTTGCATTTTGCATTTCCATTTCCATGAGCACATTTTACAACTTTACAAAACACAATATCCATGCTTGAAAAATAGCAAGACGTCTATGCATAATAGTCAGTCAGAGAATGCTAAGTATGTTAAATGCCTATTTCAAGTACTGCTGTACTTGTAAACGTTAGCTGCAATGTGTGATATATTGTGCTTTTCTTTTAAATGCTCACAATAGTGCAGTTTGGCCTGCATGCCTGCATTCCATATTAGGGACTATCTGGAACAGAATCAGATGATGTATTGCAGACATTCCTCTGGTAGCCAGTCAAAATGTTTTCCGGATAAGGCTGCCAAAATGTGCCCTTCTCCCAGAGGAGGTCAGACGAAGAGGACGTCTGGAGCTGCAGCAGCCACATTATTGATGAAATGAAGGCAGTGCCTTCCCATGCCGAGCTAGATGCTGAATTCAGTAGAACAGCTGCACTAATCAACTTGTGTTCAGGAGACACACTCGGGTCTCCAGACAGATCCTGTTCTGCAATGTGCAGCCAGAACTGCTGAAAGGCAGCCACCTACCAGGAGAGCAAACTGGGTGCCTAAGCTGGCAGACAGGCAATCTTACAGTCCAAAATAATTCAATACTACTCATGGTGACTGGTGTTTTTGCATTGTGGTCCACCAGCAAAAAATGGTGTATTGAGACTGTAGTATAAATTTAACCTTCTTTTTTGCAGATAGGTCTTTTTTGCTTGTTTACAAATGCTAATTTTGTGAGACGTAATATGCAGCTCTTCTTCTCTGCAGCAGAGTTCATCAAAGCTGAATGGCTTTGCAAAGTCACTGCACTGATCTTTCATTTGCTGACGCTAAAAGAGTGATTTATCTGGGACCAATTTTATTTATTGGACAGCATAGCGCACAGGTTTGGACTTTGGTTTGAGTCCCTGCTGCAGACATTTTAGAGCAAAGTAGTTCACCCCAATTTCAATAGTCAGCCCAGCTGTATCATTGATTGCCAGCAGCTGCACACAGTCCTGCAATGGATTAGGGTCCCATCTGAGGAGAGTCATGTTCTCTTCCTGTGTGTAATGGTATAGACAACAGGATACACTCCTGCTTACTGATCTTCTAGGCTCAAACACACCTCTGACTTTTAATGTTATGATCATCCACTCTGAGCTCCGATGGATTGGTCATGTCATCTGGATGCCAGGCTCCAGGCCCCCCAAGATGGTTCTCGTCATAAGATTCCCATCTTAACTTGGCAAGAACAATCCCGAATACATGCAACATCATTCTCAACTCCTAGACGATTATGGCCCTTGACTCAAACAGAAAGAGGAAGAAGATCTGGAAAGGGTGTCGCCGCTTTGAGATCCAAAACTATCAGAAGAAGAAAGTGAAGAGACGGCATTGAGGTGAGCTCCTCATGACAGGAGCAACCAGTTATCTCCAGACGCAACACCCGCTCAGCCAGCCAGAGAGAGTGCAGATTCTGATTTGGCCTTATCGGTCACCTTCAGGTTCATGGAAGACAAAGATTCTTGACCAACATAGGGAATCTTTCAACTCTAGATTCACAGGATTTTCAGGATTATATTCTTATCAGAGCACACAGGTGGAGTTGAATGACAAACAGCATTTACTGGGTTATTTCAACAGTTTTGTCTGGTTTTAGATTATGATCCAAAGAGATATTTCAAGACTGGAAATATCCCCTCCTTTTCTAACATTCACTTCGTGAGCTTAATTTTTACCTAGTTATTCCTGTTCAATGAGAAAGAAGCAGGTCAAAATTGTCTTTTTAAGTACCCTAGGAAATCACCATACAAAACTATAATGCAAATGCTTCAAAGAGAAAAGTAAGCATTTAGAATTTGTGATTTTTTTTTCTCCTTTTGCACACATCTTTGGTGCTGCATAAGCAGTTTTCCAACCTTTTCACAGAAATAGAAGTTGACATCTTGGCCCAGAGATCCTTCTTTAATTATTGAAAGCTTTGTGACGATTTAAAGCATGGCTAATAACAGCCAGAAGATTCTGTGTGCTGCATTGCAACACTTAACTTTCAGAGGCATGCTGGGCCTTTTTTAACCTTTCTCAAGTCTGAATACTTCTCAATTAAGCAAGAATTTCACATAGTTCTCCGATTCTTTCAAAATAAAGACAATAAAATTACAATATTGTGTTTTTGTGAATGAGACATAGACGGTATATAATCAGGCCAATATGAAAGAGATATTTAAATGCAGAGACACATAGCTGTGGAGCTTGAGGGCCTCTTTAATGAAACCTTTCCCCTCTCCGTTTCAAGAGAGGGTTTCAAATCTGTTTCTTGATTTCAACCCCTTTGAGCCTTTCTTTAGTCTTAAGTGCCATATACTTTAGCAAGCCTGAAGGATTTCATTTTCCAAAATCAGATGTAAGGCATTTTATAATCTTCTATGAATTCTAATTCTTCATTCAGTCCAACATTTTATGGTAACAGTAGGAGAGTCAAATACTAAATCCCCCCCACTAGTAGTGTGAACCACCGGCTGTTAAACTAGAGAAGGCAAAGTCCCTTTGGAAACCTAAAAGCTAATTAGGTTAAGACTGGAAAGTTTAATTTAGTCAGAAATAGTGTATGAGTGAACAACATTGTCTTCACTTTCTGCCACACTGAGTTGTTATTCTTCTGCTGTGGACCATGCAAAGCATTAAACTCTTCTCCTTAAAGACTAATTTCATTTACTTATTTTACTTTCTACTGTATTCCAGTACACATGAATCTGCAAAGCGCACAAAAAATAAATTCAATTCCCCTGATACTGTCTGGAAGAAACCTAATGTTGCCTTATGTTAAGAAAATAAATATGGATACTTGTGTTTAATCTAGTAACATTTATGACTTCCCTTAACTCACTGGGTGCAAATCGTTAAAAAGTTTCAGAAAAAAAAGTTTATTTCTGTGACTGCTATTTCATTGCAAGGTCTAGCTCATGAGTTACATTATCACCCAATCAGAGAACGCATTGCAGCATGTTTACTGAGGTGTTAAGAAAAAGAATCTTCGGCTTCACCTACTTGAAGGCCCTTGGCCAAAGGACCCCCATTCAGAGAGGTGAACCATGGGGTTGCTGCAAGGTGGGGATGGAGCAGAAGAGAGCTGCAGAAAGACAAATACGAGCTAGAGGAAGAGGCTAAGGGGTTTTCATGCTTTTTTCAGGAAGAGATATCAAGGAGAATTACGAGTTAGAGTAGCAGAGGTGTGTGAGGCCTTGGTTACTGTCATCCCTCCTGAAGCTTTGTTAAATATCTCCATTTCATGATCAAGTGAAATGAGGAGGACTGGCTCCTTTTATTCCTTTCCCAGATCCTTTCAGCTTTCCTGGAACAGACTGGACGCTCTTTCATCTAGATCTGAATGCCTGGCCCTCAAGCCCTGTGGGATTCTTTCGCTGTTTGGTGTAGTGCTTCTGTATGTGGATCTGAAGCTGGAGTTGCCCGTGGGTCTTCATAAACAGAGCCATTTTGGGTGTTGAGTGTTCAGATCACAGTAACCACATAAATACAGGACGTTTATATTGAATCCATCCACCCATTTTCTGTCTGCTTTATCCAACACGGGGTCATGGGGGAGCTGGAGCCTATCCTGGCAAACAAGCAACCGGCGGAAAGCAGGATACACCCTGGATGGGACACCAGTCCATCGTAGGGCACACACAGACACTGACACACACACACACATCCACACAGCAGAGCTAGTTTTCCCTAAGAGCCAAGTCTTTGGACTGTGGGAGGAAACCGCAGCACCAGTAGAAAACCCCCCTGGAACACAGGAGACAAACTCCATACAGAGCCTGAATTCCAGAACTGGACCCCGGTCCAATTTCTTTTCACCATAAATATTTTAATTTCAAATCCCAATACCTGAATGTGTGAAATGCTTTACTCCAACAGCTTAGCAAGGGACAGGGTTACTACCAATTGCTTTTAGCTCTAAATGAAAATGCAAATTACTGTAACTAACATTTGACATTGGACATTCTTGCTCTCTGAGAAGCTTATGGTGTTAAAAACCTGCTTAACAAATGCTTTTAAGTTGTATACCCTGTTCACTTAAACGTGTTTTATTTCCTTATTATACAGTATTCAAAAATCAGTAGGCCAATAAAAACAGCATACTGTACATCGCCAACAGACTCTCCCCACTAGCAGCAGACATACCTTATATAAAGCATATACAGTACCATTGTCCCATATGGCATTCAGGATTCGGTACAAATACACCTTATACAGCTTTTCTTCGGGGTCTAAAATGAGAAGAACTGTGTGCCACTTTGCCTAACCTAAAACATTTCAAAGAAGGTCACATAATAACAAAAATACAATACCCCAATTTCTTAATCGGGGCGTTTCCTTTCTCACCTCCCGAAAAGGAGGAATCCGGGCACACGAACTACATCTCCCAGTGTGCAGCGCCCGAGCAGGAAGCGCGAGCCTTGACACGGGAGCACGGCGGCGATTGGCTCCAGCCCTGTCACGCAGGAAGTCCGGACTCCCAAATAAGGCTTCCTACATCACGGCTCAGGGACCCGCCTCTTTGGAGTGATGACGCAATGTGGGGAAAGTGTAAGGAGGAGGGGTGAGCGGGGGGTTGGCCCGTCGGCACGCGCAGACAGCAGGGAGCAGCTGCAGCAAGAAGATCGCATCGCGTTTCACTGCATTGCAAGTGACATTTTAACATTTCCTCTAAAACTTAGAGAAAAGCACCTATAAACGACACTTAAAAAAATGGTAGATCGCGAGCAACTGGTGCAGAAAGCCAGGCTGGCTGAGCAGGCAGAACGATATGACGATATGGCAGCTGCCATGAAATCGGTAAGTTTCTCCTTCAAATTCGCCGTTCTCTATTTTTAACAGGCTGCCGTCTCTGATCATTTCAGGATTTTCTGAACGTCCTCAGTTCCGCAATCCCACTGCCTGCATCTTTTGTGTGTGTGTGTGTGACTTTAGTGACATGTCTGTGCATCTTTCAACCAGAAATAAAAAAATGTCGCATACGCCTTGGAAAATAAACGTTTCATCTTGCACTCGCGAGTTAAAAGCTTTTAGTGGCCCCACAATCTGGGTGTGATGTGTAGGATTGTCATCTTGGCACCGCGAAAGGCCAGAAACCGTTAGAAATGTCAGACCACCTACATTCTAAATGTCTGACATCGAGACCCGCGATTCAATCCCATCTCATTGTGCAGCGGGGTCTGCAGAAATGCTCGTGGGGTGTGTGCTGAAAACGTGGAAACAAAAGGTAAAAGCGGCGATCATCTGTCAGGGGAAGGAGAGCGCTATCGGGAAAGGTGCCCGCATGCGGACTCTCTGATCTTGGGGCGGTGCCTTCCCTGTCTTGAGTCCCTTGTCATTAATTCAGCCTTTCAGAACAATACAAAAAAAAAAAGATGGACCACAGCAGACAAATGACAGTAAACCGGTAGATTTTCGAGACATCCGGCTTTTTTAATACGGCGGTCCGTGCAGGGGGCTGGGTGTGTGTATCTGAAATGCAGTTTGGGCATGGGGACGGGACGTGGTTGTTCCTCGGGACACGCCGGGCGCTGGAAGCGAGGATATAAAATTGCAGTTTATTTGAATGCATCGTCAGCAACGTGATAGCTGCACTGCCGCTCGATGTGCACGACTTTTTGTCTTTATATGTCCCCCACCAACCCCCACCCCCCGCCATGTCGCCCAACCCTGTGCGATGCTCCGGGGGTTTAAAACGTCAGGCTGCCCGGTGCGAGAAACGCCGGCACTGCAGGCTCGGAAGCCGGGGTGCTTTTTGTGAACCAGCCTCGCCTTTAGGCTTGCTGTACCCCCCCCCGGCTCCCCGCCCTTCCGCGGCAGTTTGGGGGGTCTAAATCAAATGACAGTACAGCGCAGGAGAGGATCCTGAGGCGCTGCAAACGTGGGAGGCGGCGGCGCTTCCAGAATGTTCTGCGGCTGCCGTATTGCAGGGAAGGGCGAGCAGCGAGCCCGCTCTGCCACCTGCCCCGCCGGGGGGTCACTGTGCCGCTGGGAGGCTGCCTCTCCTGGACCGGGGGGCGATTATTACACGCGTGTCACTGCGTGGGGCGAGGCGCACAGCACCAGCAGAGGAGAGGGAGGAGGTGGTGCTGGCGGTGGTAGCTGGGTGGGGGGGGGGGGTTGAATCGTTTGCATTTACCGTTCGCTGTCCCCCCCCGTTTTTTTTATTTTCGGGGGTGACTTTTCTGGGCTGCTGCTTCACGCCCACCCACCGTCCCCCCCGGATTTTAACGCTACAGGTTCAAAGCAGGAAACCGCAACCCACCTCGGCAAATAATTCAGCTAGCCAGGCAGGGGAGGGGAGGGGATTGGGGGGGCAGTCGGTTGTTATAGAAACACGATGCGTTATGCAACATTTTTTTAAAAAATCTGCGACTTGTTCGCAGTTCTCAAATTAGTGCGGCCGTGAGATAATTTTTCATAAAGAGGTTTGTACCGGCTTCAGTGTGGCTGGACCCTGATGCGCGCACACACGTTTTAAAATATCCCCAGAATCCGTCACATCCCTCCGATGCATTAGGTGTCAGGGGGCGCGTGTCTAATTTTCGCGTATTTTAAGGCTTTCAATTAAAAGCGGCGACGGTGCACGGGCGTGAGGTGACGCTGAACGGGAGAGCAGTCGCTCACGCCGCCGATTGGACACGACACGCTCGTTGCGTGACGAAGGTGTACAGTCACTGGGAGCAGGGCGTCTGCTCTTGACGGCCCTGCCCAGTCCTGTTACCGGTGGGAGGGGGGATGGTGTTGACCTGCGTCCCGAGTTGGGAAGCCCAAAGGACACCGTGCCGGGCGGCACGGCAGCGTGCAATTCGATTGCCCTTTTGCCAACGCAGGAGCCCCGTTTTCCCCTTTGCCGACGAGCTCAAACCGGTTGCGGTGCTTCCCTCTCCCGGCTAGGGCGCTGAACCGGGAAGGATCCGGGAGGCTCCGTGTTTGTCCGAGGGACTCCTGCAGCCCCTGGGCTGGCACTGCGGTAGAGGGGTGTGTCCGGCGCCTCGCCCCTCGGCTGGGGGGAGTCCCTGGCCTCTGCGGTAGTGGCCACTGTTCAGCACGACAGAGCAATAGGACAGAGCGGGCACGCTCAAATCTCACACCCGTGTCTCCTACCGCTGGTTACAGCGTTTGTGCTGTTACAGTGGGTGACACCTCGGAAAAACAACATTGAACTTAATGTTGAAATACAGGTGAAAATGACCTGATTCGCTCCAAACGCGCGTAGATGGACATGAACATGAAACGTTTGAGTTGAGGTATTTTCCTGATGCATTTGGACAGTCTGACATTATAAATTACTACAGTATGTGTTACAACAAGTCGAATTTACTAACACGTTCTTATGAAGGCAGTTATACTGAACATGTTTAATGAAATGGTTATGTAGAGAAATACAATTTTACATGATCCTTATAGCATACATACTACTGTATCATTGATAATCATGGACACATGATTGTCCATACTATCATGATTAGATTTTCATTCTAAAAAGCAAACAGGATCAAGTTTGTTAAAGTGTACATGAAAGTAGGTTTCAGCATGTGCCTCCTTTCAGAAAAAGGGGTCTGTTGTACATTTCCTGTATGTAACAGCACAGGCCACAGGGTTCAGTTCTTCATTCTGTATTTATCTGCGTGGGTCTGTTGTATCCAGTTATAATTCATTCAGATACCGACTGACAGGTGTTTTTCGACTGACGTTGATTTGGTATCGCAGTTAAAACCTCGTTCTCTTCCTTGCCAAACTCACTGGCTATCCAGATATCCAGAAAGCGGTTTAGATCATGAAAATAGGATTGGCATATTTCAAAAAGCAAGGTCCCACACAGCCCTTTTCAGATTTGACTTTGGACCTGTTAAAGATGCGCATTACACACCTCAATCACTGGAGGTATAAAGGGGTTCAGCTTGTGAAGTCTTTCCTTTGAATTACCTTCCATTTCAAGGCTGCAGCTTTAGAAAACGAGGGCGGGGCAGTAAGGAGTCAGTTAAATTGATTTGGGAAGACGATCCCAGTGGGACTGTCCTCCATGTCTCAGCCTCAAAGTGCCACGCACACATTTCTTTTCTAGCCCTTGGGTTGCTGACGTGCTAACTCTAATAACACGTTATTCCGGAGATAAACATTGCCACTAAAGGCAGATGAATGACCACCATTTTGTAGCTGAATCATGTGACAAATACATGGCCAAGCAGCATGGCATTGGAAAGTCTATAGACTTTGGTACATATTAGCTAAGTGTCGATGATCCTGTAGTCCTTAAGCCAAGAGTTAAAGTTCTGTTAATATGATGCAGTCAGGTAGTCTTGGTTACCTCTATCAGCTGTGCAGCTCAGAGCAAGGGGAGTGTAGCTCGGAAGACTGTGGTCACCTTGTCATGTAATATGAAGATGTATTGCAATTGTGGGGGCATTTTCTTATGTCATATTAAAGCTTTGCAGCTTTTGTAATAAGTAAATAGTATACCTCTTTCTTCCTAGTTGTTGAATTTCCGTAAATGCTTATTTGTCTGTTTGTTCCATGGCTTGTCTTGATATCCTGAATCATTCTTAATTATCCCCTAGCTGTGTTGGCTAAAGTCGTTTCTTCTTGCTTGATGTGTCCTGCCCTTCATCACAGTGACGTCAGAATGGCTCACAAGCAGCCTCTTGAGCACGATAATGTCATTTCCCTGAAAACGATGTGTAGATAATGTGACATTGGCAGAATTGGGAGCAGAGACATACCGCTTACAAAAGACAAAACATCAGTCACCTCTTCCTTTAGTAATGGATTTCCTTTGCCTTGTCTGAAGCAAAAGGGAAAAAAAAGCCTTGATTCCTGAGAAACTGCAAATCAGAACATTAATTTTAGATGTCCAGACCCCACATTTTTAAAGCTCCCATTGAATAAAACAACACAGCTCAAAACAAAATGTGTTCAGACTTTTTTGGGATGGGGGAAACGGGGAAGTTTTTTCCCCTGGAAACATTCTTGATGATTTTTAATCAGAACCTGGATTTCTAACTGTACCATCTAGGCATTGTCATTTAGTACATATAGTAATGTGGTACAATTGTGGTACAAATGTGGCAGATACAAATGCTGTTGTATCTGCAGGGTCTCTAACCAGGCTTGTAGCTCCAATATATAATGCTGAAAACCTCGAAGTGCAGGGTCTTTTAAAGAACCATGTTAAGCACCTCAGTGAACTGTACCAGAGAACATGGCGAATCTGACTGGCTGTTGCAGCTGTTCGCTGAGGTGTGTTTGAATTACCGGCAGGAGCTGAGAAACTGATGGCTCCGCTCACCAGCACGGTTCCCCTGGGGCCTCGAGTTGATATTGAAGCCCGTATCTAATAAATAACAACGTAACATCCAATATTGTGGTCATGGAGTGCAATCGCAGCAGCTCAGATGGGGAGAGGGGTTCATTCCTCTAAGTACAGTCCTTAAAAATCCATTTTTAAGCTACTTACTACAAGAGGCACCAGTCATTCATTTTTTGCTATTGTTTCATGCTCTTTGAGCTGCAGACCTTTTCATATTTAGAAGCCTGCAAGCTGTAAGGAAAGCAGTTCATTGAGAAACTGCAGTCATTTGCGGTTATATAACGCTATAGGGCCACTTGAGTGCTCCTTTCCCCTTGGTTGAGTCCACAGTCATTTTTCCCCGTGACAGAAGGCGTCACGCACAGCATTACTGGGTAGCTGCTTGGGCAGGTCACATCAGCTTATCGGGGGAGACAGCCCTGTGCGTGTAGTGTGTAGCACTTTGCGCTCTTTAGACTGGGCTGGGCTCAGAAGACAGGACTGGGCTTTT